TCAGTCTGCTGCCTTCTTCCTGTCTAGCCCAGAGCTTGTGAGCTGAGGGTGGGAGCTGGATTCAACCCCAGGGACTCTTACTCCAGGTAGCACTCCATTGCTTCTCCTTGAAAAGAGACGTTGGTGAGGAATATTTACCAGAAGAGAGGAAAAGGATGTGTGCAGAAAGGAGAATCCTGAGCTCTGAGTTCTGGGATCAGCCACCCTGCAGTGCCCAGCAAGTACTTCGCTCCTAGCACTGCCCTGGCTCACCTGTCCTGGCTTATGCCCTTCTCTGTGGCTGGTCTGAATTCCGCTCCCCTACTTCATGGTGCTCACTGCCATCATTTGCTTATTAGGTGTATTTGTATGATCACTTTCTCTCAGACTACAAACTACAAGATAGCAAGAATCTGGGGGCTGTTTATCTCTGTGGTTGCCTACCTAGCTAGAACTGTGTCTGATAAATAAATGTTTGTTGAGCAGGGAGAGAAAGAGGGAACGCCCACCAACAGACAGTTGACTGTCTTTCTGAAATGAGGGATGACTAACTTTTTGTTTTGCTTTTTCCAGATTTAATGGGCACTAATTCTCTAAGCAACTTGTTAGGGTTTTGTTTTTTTTTTTTTTTTAAAGATAGAGCCACAAGCCAGGTGCTGGTGGCTCATATCTATAGTGCTAACAACTACTTAGGTGACTGAGATTTAATGATTGTAGTTTAAAGTCAACTGTGGTAGGGAAGCCCATGGGACTCTTATTTTCAATTAAACAACACAAAGCCAGAAAAGGAACTGTGGCTGAAATGGTAGGGTGCCGTGAATGAAAAATCTAAGGCACAGTGCCCAGGCCCTAAGTTCAAGCTTCCACACATAGCCACTGTATGAATGAATGAAACCCAAACCAGTAGTCCTAATTCACTTACCTATAGTTACACTATGACCAGCTGGTCTATAGTCCTGAAGGATACAAGAGTCTCAGATGTACTAAAGCTAGGTGACATCAGCAGTACCCACAGGGCAGGAGGTTTTATGACTACTGTCACTATAGATACAAGTGTCTGAGTACCCTCAGCCTAGTGGGAGATCAGTGAACGCGGTGTGTGTGTGTGTGTGTGAGCTCCTCCAGTAGAGATCCTAGCTCAGTCATTGGACCCCTTCCCATTCAGTCTGTCATGCCTCCCTTCTCTGCCTTCTATTGGAGCCCCCAGCATAACTGCATAAAACTTCCCATAATGCCCAGTACTTCTTACAGGACAAAATACTGGACATTCCAATCCCAGTCATCCTAAGGGCAAGCCTCCAGTGTATTTCATCTTCACTTCCTCAGGGCCCTCAACGTTCATCCCAGATGCTCATCAATGGACATGTGTTTCCATTTGTATTAGCCTGAGAGCTTGTGAACCTAGCCTAGAAGCCGACATGCTAGGACCGGGAAGCTGCCTCCTGCCTCCCTTCTTCCTTCCTGTAGGCATCTGTTAAGACCTTGTCATCTGTCAGTCACTGTGCCAGGACCCAGAGCCATACCCTCCTCAAAGTAGGATATAGAAGACTAGGAATGCAGGAGGGCAGCTCTTCCATAGCCACAGGAGATCCACAGAGCTAGCTGCTCAAACGGGAAGGAAGAAGGGAAACGGTCCCCACTGGAGTAGGAGAAGGTTTCCAGGAGAGGTAACTGCCATTGCTGTTCAAGACTGAAGAGAATTTCAATCAACAAAAGGAGATAACCCTAGAGGGGAATGTGGTAAAGTAGCCAGAAACAGAAAGAGCAAGGAGGGGCCATGGGGGTGGAGCCAGTGAGCCACTCCCAGTCTTCTCGCCAGGCGGAAGGTGAAAGGGTAAAAGGAGGAACTGGAGACTACTGTGGGAGCCTGTAGAAAACTACCTTGACCAAAGACTACTGGGTTGGTCCTGAGATACCAACACCAATCCTAGAATCTGTCCTTCATTCCAGGCACATCCCACCCTCTTTCTTGGAAATGAAGCAATTCATTTAAACTCTGATTTATCTTAATAGGTGTAGTTTCTCCCAAGGCTTAGGACTGCTTTTGGATTGCAGAGAGCTTTCTTTATATTGTTTGAAATGATTGTCTCTCTCTTCTGGAGAACTTTGTTACATGACATGAAAAATATAAAGTGGTTAACAGTGAGAAACAAGAGATGATAATAAGAATTTAGAAGAAAAGCAGGAATAGTGCGATGTTAAGAAAGCACGAAGAAAGCACAGAATTTGGCTCTGAGCTTCTCAGCAGCCAAAGCAAACCCAGCATGGTAGAGATTGAAGTTTAATGGCCACATTTGTCCAAACAGTTCTCACTTTTTCCACTTATAAACAGTTCTATTTCACCTGACTCACTCAGGTAAACCCCTTCAGGGGGAACACAAATAGGGAAATTTGGGTGATCGAGCTAGGCTACAAGAGTAGCAGGTGCTGAATTAATTTGAAGTGTTCAGAAATTGAGTGATTTGGGGCTTATAAAGGGCATAGATAGAAAATGGAAAAAAGTACCTTCAAATGGATTCACTATTTCCAAGACTGGAGACACTGACAAATAGGGAAATTAAAAGGGCATTTTTACCTGAGTTCAACATGGTCAGACAGTGAAAAATAAGGATGTGCCAGGTGCCAGTAGTTCAAGCCTATAACCCTAGCTACTCACGTGGCTGAGATCTGAAGATCACAGTTCAAAGCCAGCCAGGGCATGGAAGTCTATGAAACACCAATAAAGCCAGAAGTACATGGATGGCTCAAATGAGTGCGAGCCTTGAGTAAAAAAGCTCAGGGACAGTGCCCAAGCCCTGAGTTCAAGTCCCAGGACCAGTAGTTAAAAAAACCCAAACCAAACAAAAAACACGATGTGACCAGCAACCTCACAGCTCTAACAAGAAATGGGGCAGCAAACCAGGACAAGGATCAAGTTCATTGGCCACCTGCATTAAAGTAAGAACTGTTAAAGCACACTGGCAGCTGGGCGCTGGTGGCCTGTAATCCTAGTTACTCAGGAGGCTGAGATCTGAGGATCGCGGTTCAAAGCCAGCCTGGGCAGGAGAGACCATAAGACTCCTATCTCCAATAAACCACCAGAAAACCGGAAGTGGCGCTGTAGCTCAAGTGGTAGAGCGCTCTCCTTGAGCTGAAGAGCTGAGGGACAGCGCCCAGGCCCAGAGTTCAAGCCCCACGGCCGACAAAAACAAACAACCAAAAAAAAAGCACACTGGCACTCATGGCCTAGGGCCTTTCATTTGTCGGACAGAATGGCCAGGTAGGCAAGACTGCCTCATCCCTGGGCCTCCATTTCTTCTGTAAAGGTGAAGTAAATAAAACCTTCCCCTTGAAGTAAAGAAAAACCTTGTTTCTAGTTGGGAGAAGCAGAGTGCCTCATAAGCAAGATTACTTACTTCTCCCCCAAGCAATCTCAAACTTCTGAGCAGGTAGCTGGTGACGCCTCTTACAACAAGCCATTGGTCCCAGTTCTGTCCTCCAGAACCTGCAGTTACTCCTGTTTCCTATGGCAACTCAAACACCATCCTGTGATAGGATGGGACAACATCCCAGGCAGATTCCCACCTGCGTACCTCCTGTCAGGCTGCTCAATCAGATTGAGGTCCTTGAATGGAAGAACAACTCCCATCTTTGTCTTCTGCTCCAGTGCTTAAACAAGATTAGAACCTTGTGCTAGGGTCTTGTATGAGTTCTTAGAAATAATAGGCTCATGGGGCTGGGAAGGTGGCTCAGTGGTAGAGTGCTTACCTTGCATGCATGAGGCCCTGGGTTTGATTCCTCAGCACCACAGAAGCAGAAAAAGCCAGAAGTGGCGCTGTGGCTCAAGTGGTAGAGTGCTTGCCCTGAGCTGAAGAGCTGAGGGACAGCAACCAGGCCTAGAGTTCAGGTCCCACAACCAACACACACACAAAAAAGAAAAACTATGCTCGCCACCCAAACTGAAAACTGCCAGTGGGACAAATGGTACCTATGTCAAATTCAGGTATCTTACTATTCCATAAGGATTTCCATAAGGATCGAAATCTCTTTCTGCTTAAATGTTGACCTTCTACCAAAAGGCCAAGTTATTAAGGTGCTTGGCCACCAGAGTTAATGCTACCATGTAGTTGGCTCTACTTGGTATGTCTCCCCAAACCCAGTCCCTCTATCAAGTGGGGGGCAGTGATCCCCTCCCCTAAATGTAAAGGCTGACTGTAGCAAAGATCTACTGAAAGACAGCTGATACCACTAAGGAAAACATTGAGCTATATCATTGAACTGCTATTTATTTTCATAAACATGAGGTATTTCAAAGTGCTATAAGATGTAGCACTAAATATATACACTTTTTTGAAGAAATTAAAACACAGAACTTTCCATTTACCCAGTTCTATGCACCAAACATGACAAATACATTAACAGGAAGAAAACAGGCTAGGAAAAAAAAAAGGCATATATATATAGTAAATTTCTTTACAAAAGTTTCTTAGTTCCAAAAGTGATAAAGTAATATCTACTCAAAACTTTCACAACTCATTTTCATACGAAAATATAAGTATCAAATTTAGTCATGTATCAGCATTATACTAAAGTATACAGGCAGTGTAAGAATTAGTACAGTACATAACAGAGATTAACAATATATTTGTATACAAACATGCTCCTCAAACATTGAGGTATTATTATAGTACTTAGGTGTGAACTTCCAGTCTAATAACGGCCGCAAAAGCCACCTCGCTTTTTACCCAAACTGATAGAAAAGGCGGGTAATGTCAATGGTATGTACAAAACTGTCCCCAGGGGCGTCAGCTGGCCTGCCCCTTGGTGGCATCTGCTGGAACTTAAGCACCATTGGAAAAAGAAGGAATGACGGTTTGTTTGGAAACTCAGAAACCAACCAGGTGACTTCCATAGCCCCAGAGGCTCCGAGTGTCACAACGTGGCTGTCACAAAGTTGAGATGGAGGAAACCGTAAAGAGCCACCACTACCACCCCAAGTTCCTCCCCCCACCCCCCCACCCCCATCTTGAGGCTCTCCAGGATCTTCGCAGAATGACACACAGGTCCTGCCCCTAACCCAGATCCAAACAACGGGGACCCATTGGAAAGTAAACCAACATTCTTAATGTCAATACAATGTTTAAAAAAAAAATGTGCAAAGTGGCAGTGACTGTCCATTTGAGAAAGGCTTAGCAAGTCCGAGCGAGTTCGATTTTCTTTAGCAACTGCTGCTGTCGGGCCTGCAGCTTCTCCTTTTCCAGAAGCAGCTGCTGCTCCTCGGCCTGCAGCGCGCGCACGTACTCGGTGGCCTTCTTCAAGATGACCACCTTGGCGGCCTTCTCGTTCTTCACCAGCTCGGGCACGTGGTCCCTGAGCGTCAGGAAGCTGGACCGCAGGTCGTTGCGACGCTGGCGCTCCAGGATATTGTGGTTGCGGCGACGCTCGCTGTCCTCCGAGTCTGAATTTCGTGGGCTCAGGCTCTTGGCCTTCGTCGTGGGGACGACATTCTTGAGCGGCCTTGGGGACACCTCGCTCTTGATCTTCTTCTGGGGAGGGGCATCCTCGCTCTCCACGTAGGGCGATGGAGCCGCGTAGTTGTGCTGCTGGTGGATGGGGACGCAGCGCTTGAGGATGAGCTCGCTGGACTGCACGCGCCCCAGGCCCACGGCTGCGTTCTTGGGGCGCACGGTGATGGTGAATGTGGTGAGGGCCTTGTTGTTGCTGTTGGAGGAGGAGGAACGCCTCTTTTCCACGGTGACCACATCGATCTCTTCCTCCTCATCTTCCTCTTCATCATCCTCGTCGTCTTTGGGGGGGAGAAAGATGAAGAGTTAACGGTTAGGAGAGACGCATTAAATGAAATGAGCATGCGTGCACATCCGTACACCATTTGTCTGCCTGGGTTTTCTAGAATAGGACCTGGCAGGGTTTTTGAATTCTAGATCTGTCAACATGTGGGCAGAATATATTTTATGCTTCTTTAAGTAGAACTTTTATATATAGATAGATGGATAGACAGGTAGATAGATGAACTTGGGGCTAGAAAGAATCCTGGCTCTTGGGGAGAAGGTGCAAATCTCAGGGGGCACAAGGTTCTTAACTTTTCTCAGCTCTTCAATGGGGGTAATAGGAGGGTGTTTGAATTTAGCTGATACTACATAAACAGCCCAGAGCTGGGCCTCACAGACATTGCTCAGTAACGGGAACTTTTAACACAATCAATCACTATAGGTATTCTGCTCTATGGGCTTCAGCACATTTCCACTTTCACACTTGAGAAGTTTTTTTTTTTTTGGTCAAACGCATAGCTAAGTCTGATTCCCTCTCCCCCTCCCCATCCTTAAACAAAAGGAACAATTTAATTAACTCAGGAAGAAAAAAAAAACTTTTTCTTCCATGAACATGAGTTCCATACAGTAAGCAGTTTTTCTAAGCAAGATCAAATCTCAAAAACAAAGCCCTAATCCACAGTAGCCACACACACACACACACACACACCCCACACACACACCCTCCACAGGAGCAGCTTCTAAGCCACCAACAAGAGCAGTAACAAAAGGCATGTAGTATCTTGTGCATGCCCCCCTCCCCACTACCATGCTAGGATAGAAAATTATTGTTTAAAATGCAAGCATGAAAATCAAAACACATCTTCTGCTTGATCTGCTGGGCACCGGAAAGCTGAACAATTGTGGGATTTGTTCTAAAGCTGAAATGTGAGGCTGTTCCAGTCTGGGTCCCTTTAAGCCAGTGTTTTGGTTTTCTGCCAAGAAGACAGCTGTTGGAAGGAAGTGCTTCCTCACCGAAAGCTGTCAAGGCACAGACATTAAAGGGGCAGAGCCATTTCCAACTGCAGGCTGATCACCAAGTTTCCTTCCAGGAGCCTCCCCTCCCCTAGGATCGGGCCTCAGCTCTGGAGTACATTTAAGCTTTCTATCTATCTGTATTGTGAATACAGCCTTTCAAGGGGTAGAGTTCAGTTTTTCTGCAACCCATCCTTATCCTACAAATGCACGCATACAAGGCGACTTTTCAAGGAGTCTTCCCCAGATCAGGGCGTCCCCCTGAAGGGCTGGGAAGTGTCCTGCCCTTACCTTCAAGGGCACTGGGTTACAGAACACAAAATCCTCCAAGCAGGCCTGCAGTTCCCACTAGTAGACCCCCCCCCCACTCCATAGTCGATGCACACCGGAGGGAGGGGCCCCGAGACTGTACACAAACCTGTTACACTTGCTGAATGGAAGGAGGGGTGTCTTCAACCCCACCCCACAGCCTTTCAGATCCTTGTGCTGGCCAGACACATCGCCACCTGCTGGCCGTGCACCAGGAGCAAAAAAAAAAAAAACACACACCAGCCCACCACCCACGGAGGGGTGGGGGAGGGGGCTTGTGGTCTTTAGGAAAAATTTTAAAAAAAATTAAAAAGAAGGGAACGGGGTGCTAGCCGCCTGGGCGCAGTCTCTCTCACCTCTTCCTCTAAATGAGTTTGCACAAACTCTCTGTTCTGTTTTGCTTTGTCCCCCCCCCCCCCCCCCCCTGTCTCTTTTCCACCCCAGTGCTAACAGGTTTGTGTCTGGTGGAAGGCAAACCTCTTACCGCTATCGTCCCCGCTCCCCAACCCTCCAGGGCAGGATGGGGTGCAGCCAGTGCGGGTTTAATCAAGGCTCGGGGTGGGGGGACAGGCTAGCTGTGGGAAGGTCCTGTCCTACCCACCAGCCGCTGGCCGTCTCTGCCCCCCACCCTGGGAGAGCCGGGAGGAAACTGGACCTGTGTGCGGACCACCGGCATCGCGACTCCCAGGAGTCAAACCCCCAACGTTAACAAAAGGACGCAGCGCCCCCTCCCCGCCCCGCGCCCCCGTCCCCGGGACACTGCGCGATCCCACCCCGGGCTTTACCTGAGTCGCTCAGGGTGTCCTCTCCGGAGGTACTCAGGGCCTTGTGGTCCCCAGCGCTGGCCGGGCGGCCGCCGGGGCGCGGAGGGGCGGCCACCGGGGTGGGGGCCGGAGCGGCCCCGGCTACCGCGGAGCTGGCCGCGGGGGCACCGGCCGGGGCGGCGGGCACGGGCGGCGGCTCGCGCTTGGTCACCGGGAAGGGGAAGACCACCGCGGGGTCCACGCACTCGGCGGCAGGATGGGCGAGCTCGGCGGGCAGGGCGGCCCCGGCGCGGCCGGCTGCAGCCGGGCCGCCGTGCGCGCGGCCCGCGGGGCTGGGGGCGGCGGTGCCCGGGACTCCCGGCGCGCCGGGGCGGCGGCGGCGGCACCGGCCGGGGTCCCGCGGCCGTGCTGCAGCTTCTCGCTCACGGCGCGCTCCAGCTTCTCGCGGGCGGAGAAGCCGCTCCACATGCAGTCCTGGAGGATGACGGGGTTGGGGGTGAGACCCCCCAGCCCGCCCAGGCCGAACGCGTCCTCCTCGGCCGAGCTGCCCCACAGATCGACCTCCGACAGCATCATCATCTCGTTGGCCCAGTTCGAGGGCTCCGGGCTGGGCTCGGGGAAGGCGCGGCTGGGCGACAGCGGGGGCGTGGGCAGCAGCTCGAACTTCTTCCAGATGTCCTCGCCCGGGGGGGTCGAGTCCGGGACCCCGAAGTAGAAGTCATCTTCATCCGGGTAGAAGCAGGGCTGCAGGGAGTCGAACTCGAGGTCGGGGTTCTTGCAGATCATCCCGGGCATGGCGGACGCGGCGGCGCCCCTCGGCATCGGCTCGCCCCCCGGCCGGCGACTGGACGCGGCGCTCCGCTCCGCTCTTTTTGAATACCGGGGGGTGGGGTTGTGTGTATGGGGAGGGGGGGTGTTTCCTTCCCGTGGGGGGGCGCAGAGGGCGGGGACCCGAGCCAACCTCCAACGCTGCAGACGAGACAGACACACCGGGAGAGAATGGGTGAGCAGCAGCCGACGGGAGGGACGGGCGCTGCGCGCGCCCCTTCTAACCCCGTCCCCAATCTTTCCAGCCACCACCTCCTCCCCCCCCCGCTCTCCCCACACACACACCCTGCGCCCCCCTCGCTTCACACACACACACACACACACACACACACACACACACACACACCCTGCGCCCCTCCCCGCATCTCCTCAGTCCGGGGGCTCCCCGAGAGGTGGAGAAGTTCAGCCCCGCGGCTCCTCCACCCTTTGTGTACACAATCGGTTCCCGGGGCAGATGCAGGGGGGCTGGCACAGCCCGGCAACTTTGGGAACTGCCGTTTCCTTCACCCCATCCCACCACCGCCCCCCCTACACACACACACACACACACACACACACACACACATCACCCCAGCCCTGCGTCGGGGAGGGTGGGCTCCCCAGTTCGCGGACAGCTCCACCCTCCCACTTCCAACGCCAGGAGAACCAGGGGCGCAAAGCCGGTCCCCGACTCAACCGTGGATCCCACCCCGCCCGGTTTACGGGGCACGGGGTTCGGGAGCTCCACTCCCGAGCTCCCTTTTGTACCAGTGCCTCCTCGGCGTGTGCACACGCGAACGGGGCGAGGAAACTTTGCAAATGCCAAGAACCCTTTGCCCCACACGGAGGGCGGGGGTGGGGGGGCCTGGCGACGCCTGGCACCCGAATCGACGCGCCCCCCACCCCACCCCACGGGAACGAATAAAGGCTCCCTGGCATTTCCCCCGCCGCCGGGATCCTACTCCTGCCAAGGACTCGTGCTGGATCCGCTCGCCGCCACCCCCTTTTCTGCACCAACGACCACCGCGGCCAGGGATGGAGGCTGCGCCCTTCAGAGAATGGAGCCGGGGCGCCGGCGGGGAGAGAACCGCGGCTCCGCCGAGCTCCAGCGGCCGTGACCCAGATCAACACCGCGGCCGAATCCCCTTTCCTCCTTCTGGGAGCCCACCCACCCACTCCTTGAAAAACAGCACCCCGCGATGCGAGGGGACGCCTCCCGGCTCCGCATCAGCGCGAGCAGACATGAAATACTCTAGGGCAGGGTGAATTGCTTTGGCGCCGGAGCCATTCCTCTCCTTTGGCAAAGGCTGTTAGATTAAATATATATGTACAAGAAGGTGGATCTCTTCCAGCCCGGGTGCCTCCGGGACTAAACGGGCTTTTCAGGGAAAACCCCGAGATGGGTTTCGGTGGTGGTTGTTTGTTTCGGAAACAGAAGCAGTCCCCCGGGCATATTCGGGCACCCGGTGCGCCAGCCGCGCGATCGCGTCCAGGGCGGCGCTCGCCGCTCCCGGCGCTGCCTGGAAGCCCGGCTCCTTACCTCCCGAACACTGCCCCGGGGATCCGAAGGCGACGCGGCGCTGGGGTCTCCGGGTGGGCCGACGGGGTGGGGCGGGGGCGCACGGGCAGCAGCTGCAGTCGGGGCGCGCTTGCGCCTGGCTAGCGTTTCGCTCGGCCCCAACCCAGTTCCCAGGAGCCCCCAGCACCCACCCAGCGCGTCCAGACAGATGACTGTCACTGACTGCGCTTTGAAGCTCGGGGGATATTATTAACTGAAAAATCTGACACACCCGGGGGGCGGGGAGAGAAGGGGGCTGTGGCTGCAGACCAGGGGGCGGGAGGAAGGGAAGAGCTCCCCGCTTTGCCCCGCCCTCTTCATCTCCATAAAAATCAGGGGAGGCGCCAAGGCTTTCGCGCCAAAAGCCACTTGCTTTTCCTTTTTTCCTCTTTTTTTTCCTTTTGAGCTGGGGAGCCGCGAGTGCCACCCCCTCCTCGTCCGCCCTTTCCCCCCCCCTCCCCAAGTTTGCACCCGGTGCACTCAGGAACCTGCTGGATCCGAGCTGGGCATGCTGCACCCGCTCGGGCTGAGCTTTTTCTTTATTTCTTCTTCTTTTCCTGCACTGCGTGTTGTGCTCGGGAAGGGGAAACTGAGATTTCCCACCCGGTCTGCGCGAGGCCAGACCTGAGCCCAGACTCTGCCACAGGGTGGTTCGTGGGTGATCGCGAAGAAAAGCTGGCGAGGGTGCGAGGCGCAGCGAGGGAGACGGCGCGCCCAGGTCTCCCCCTCCCCCCTAGTTCCAAATGGGAAGGAGAGGGGTACCCCCCCCGCCCCGCTTTGCTGGAAAATAAACAAGTGCCGGGCTCCCAGGGTGGCGCCGGGGTGGTTTTCTTTCGGCCGAAGGCGACACCTCGCGGAGACCGAGCAGAAAACGGAGCCCGAGTCGAGGCCACCCCGCAGCTCCCGCGCCCCAGCGACCTTGCCAGCCGACGGGGACCGACGGACACCCCCCCCCCCACCGCGCCGCGGGGGCCGCCGCCCAGCCAGCTTTCTGGGGGAGGTGAGGGACCGTCGGACCCGGGGTGTGTGCTCGCGCCTGGCAGACAGACCTCGGCTCCAAAGGCTGGAATCCAAACTGCTGGGGACGAAAATGGAGCATGGCCGTCATCCCTTGGCCTCATTGTGCCTCAGTTTCCCCCTTGGGAGGTTGACGGCTTGTCTTAACTGGGTTATTTCAAGAAGTATGTTACGAAGATGCATTGCACATGGACTGCCCTAAAAATAAGCGTGTCTGCTATTATTAACTTATTACCCGAACAGGACAGAAGCTTCCCTTTGGGGCCATGTTGGTCTCTTCTACCCACCACCATCAAATCTTCACTCTAGATGAGTTCTCTCTCTCTCTCTCGCTCTCTCTGTCTTCTCGCTAATGATGGGTTTCATACCATGGCTCCTCTCAAACTGCCCAGGGGAGATCTTGGTGTGGGGCTTTGCCCCATCAACCACATACAGAGTGAGATGCGTTTTTGTCCTGGGAAACATGCCGGGACTCGTTTAAGGAAGGGGACCTGGCACACCTCCCCCAGAGGTTCGCCCCGGCTTCTGGACGAGGTTGGGGATGCCTGTGGTCCGGGGCCATCCATAAATTGCTCTGTATTAGCATTTGTGAAAGTCTTTCCACCCCCTATAGTTGGCAGATCCCCTGGGTTCTAGGAAGAAGCCCTTGAATAAGAGCTAGCTGCCTTTCCAAGCCCCCTTAGTATCATTCCTTCACATATGCAAAACACATCACCTTTGCAAAAGAGCCTTTAGCACCCCTATTTCTACTCTTCCTCTCTGCTGAACCTCCGGAGGCCTGGGCTCTGTGGGCTCCCGGCTTTCTCACCCTGTTTCCGGGCTCTTCCTGCCCAGCATTTGCCTCCAGGTGTGGTTATTAATGTCAACTCCGCCACCCTCCTGGGATGAATTTCCCCAAGAAGGATGCAGCCCAGTGCGGTGCCCGTCGATGGTAGATCTCACCAAAAGAGACATACTTGCAGCCAGGTCTGCCACCATAGTTTCTGTTAGGAACAGATGGAGAGGATGCCTTCAGAACTACCTTCAGACATTCTGCAGCAATCTCAGAAAAGCCATTGCCGGCATGGCACCTGGGGCCCGCACCTGGAGTCCTGGCTACTCAGGAAGCTGGGATCTGAGGATCATGGCCTGGGCAGGAAAGGTCTATGAGACTCTTATCTCCAATTAACCAACATAAAGCCAGAAGTGGAGCTATGGCTCAAGTGGTAGAGCCTCAGCGTTGAGTAATAGATTTCGGGGACAGGGCCCAGGTCCTGAGTTCAAGCCTCAGTACTAGCACACATAAATGCCATGCTATTACAAGCTGCCTGACTTATCTTCCTTCTAATATTGTAGGCAAGATGGGCATAGTTGGCAGGGAGGCTAAAGGTGTCATCTCTTTCCCACTACCTCTGTACACTCCACTCCTCCTCACTTTTTTTTTTTTAAATAAGGCAAAGTTTAGCAGAAAAAGGAGAGGAAGACAGATACCTGGTTATTCTACATGCCTCTGAGCAAATAATTTTCCCTTCCTGGACTCCAATCTCTAATCTCCTGCTTTTAATGCAAGCCAGTAATTACTGACAAGTCTGAATCTGAAGGTTAGCAGAATGATAAAAATTCAGCAAATATTTATTGACACCTTTATTCACAAGTGGAAATATATGACTATGCATGGGGAAAATTGTCTAATACCCGTCCTTAATCTACTTGTGGGCAAGTCTGACAGGTCCTCGTACCATGCCAAATCTCTCTCAGACCCTGTAAACACACACACACACACAACACATACACACACACACACAATGTTTCACAAAGCATGAGAAGGGTCCAATGAATGAAGTTTATATAGCATCCTAAACTACAGAAAGGAATAGAGAAAGGCTTGAGGTTCTGGGGGGACCTAAGGGTGGTCAAGGGGAGGAACAGTTGTCTCTCAAGTAATAAACCTGTCTGGAGGCAGCCCCCACTCCAGAAGATTAGGTGAGAATCTGCCTGGGTGTAGTGTCACTGAATTAATCTCTTTTTTGGGGGGAGGGGGGCTGGTAAGATTCCTGCAGATAAGATTCAGAACAACCAAGTCCTTTTTGGAGACTCCTTTAGGCAGAAAAGAGGATCCCCAAAGTGGCTGACAACACCTACTCTTGCCAAGTTGCCCTCTAAGTCATTAGCACACCAAAATAGGTAATGAATTCACCAAAATAAATAGGTAAGTTTCCAAACAGGAAATGTAAATGGTCAACAGCTGTGAAAAGATGCTCCTGGTCAGCTGTAATCAGGGCAATACAAATTAAATTATAGAGAGATTAATAATTCAAATCAAGAAGACTGCTGTGTTGGCAAGTCTAGGGCATGAGGGATTGGGTCTTCTCACACACGATTGGTGGTGCAACTCCAAGAGTACAAGCCTTTCAGTCTCAAGAAGGAACCTCAAACAAAGCTGTGGAGAACACACTTGTAA